TTCTCTTCAACCAATATATATAAACTCTCAAAGGATTTATAATTTCCTTTGGTGTTTCTTCTAGATTTTTATGGAAAACATTTCCCCAAAAATTCTTACAGGAACAGAAACTGAATCTATTGAGATCATACAGTTTGGGGGCAAATATTTTACAAACTATTTTTAAATCAGTTTCTTTAATATCTGAAGACAGTAAATTGGACATTTAAATGATGGAGCTGATAATTTTTATTCTGTAAAATACCTTATACTTTTCTGTTATATAAAAACAAACCATTCTTCTTAAACTTAACCTAAATGGACAATTTATGAGAACTGAAAAAGTTCATAGAATTTCTCAAGGTTCTACAACATAACAGTTCATGCATATTATAGCCAAGTTGAATTGTTCCTTAAATACAGCAAGCTGTTGGATGCCACACAGCCTTACCACTTTTAAACCCAAAGCATCAGAATGAGAAAGGGCCAAAAGGAAGCTCTTTATCTACAAAATAACCTATCTTCATCAGCTTCCTTTAGTCTCAAGAAAAAAATGAAAGTCAAGCTAAAACATCATCTTCCTTGCTTGGAAAAAGACTGCTAAAAGCAGCTTATAAGAATGCCAAGAGGAGAATGTGATTCCAGAAAAAGTATGGGATTGAATCAGAAGGCTAGGATTTCAGTTCCAACTACCTATGTGATCCCGACAATCACATAACCCTCTCATCTCCACTTCCTCGTCTGTGTGATAGGGATAACCCTGTATCAAGAGTTGTTGTGAGTTCAAATCAGATATGTGTGAAAAGTGAATGAAAAGCCATAAAGTAAATAAAATAACAAGATGTATTCTTGTTGTTTATGGTTGTTTGGTGTGGTGGTGTGTGTGTGTGTGTGTGTGTATGTTTTACCATTAACTCTAGGTGTCTTCCTAAAAAGCATTCTATGCCAGTGTCCTATACTTGATCAAAAGCCATGAATATCACTTATAACTCTGGAGAACACAGGATCCAAATAGACTGACCCAGCAACTGACCAGCACTTTGTCAGAATATGGTCACAGGCAAAGTTGGTAATCCAAGGAACGAAATCTGTGTCCAGTTCAGCACAGTGCAGCTAAACAGCCAGCTGGGTCACCTCAACCTGAAACACTATGAACATTCTGAAAATGAATGTTTTCGATACATTCTCCCTTCTTCAAACTAGCATCCAAAGTACCTGCCCATTCTCTTAGTTCTCATTTTTCCATGAATTTCCATGTTTGTCCTCTAATACGTATCCTTGACTTGCATCCTGTGATTGATACATGCACCTAACTCTCCTGGCTCTAATCACAGATTCACCTTTTCCTCTTGTGCCATACTTAGAAAATACCCCCTCTCAATTAAGTCTGGCCCCTGCCTCTGAGAATCTAGGATTCCAGACCAATAGACCACACACTTAAACAATTCCTACCTGTAGGCAGTGTCGAGCAAATAATTCTTAAACTATTATTAACTGGTTMTTAATGATGGTTTGTAGTCATTCAAAACATCTAAAAGATTTGAGGATTTTTCTTTGAGTGTGTGTTTAATTTTAATGGCCTCTGAGCATTTCTAAATCTAATTATTAGAAATTTGGAAAGAGAAAATGACAATTGCACATGGGCCTTTGGGAGTCTGGTTGGTTTAGCAGAAGCTGCAAACCACAGTTTTGTTGTAAACATCTCTCCCTACCCTGTCACCTCAAGGTCAATATCTCACAACTCACACTTGTATCCACGTGGAAAGGAGTTTTGCCAAAATGAGACATAGGAAGTCTCTGTGTCCCTAAAAGTCAAGGGTTTCCATGATGGAAAAATTAGATCAGGTCAAAACTAAGCATGTTCAAGTGAAGGGCACCTAGAGTAAAGGGGCAGTGGCACTCTCCAGAGTCCTCTGATGGGATAATTTGACCTAAATACAATGTCATCTTCAACATTTGTTTCAGATCTAAAATCACACAAGGCAAAATTTCAGAAAGGACCAAATAAAAAAGATTAAAAAAAAAAAAAAGATTTTGGACCCTAAAATTCAGCTGGAAATTTGGCTGGGGCTAGATGGCTAGATTTAGAAAGTAAATTGAGTAACATTAATCAAGGCAACTCCAGAATCCACAGACTAATTTATGTTCACAGTTTTTTGTTTTAATTTATTTATTCAAAAAGTAAAAGGGAATCCTTAGGATGACCGGATTACAAAATGGATTCATTCATTGGACATAGATTCACTGAGTACAAAACAAGAGTAAATTATAGTAATACAAATGGAGCAGTAGAGCAGTGATTTTAGATACAGAGGTAAGATGAAGCACACATCACTTTTACAAAAGGAATGAAGTCAGTATCCTATAGATAAAAAAAGTGAGTAAATACATAGCAATACATGTGTTACAATTAGCAAATTATCCTTTGTATTTTCCAAGTTATTCTGGGTAATTATTTCAAAAGGTGCAAAAAAGAAGCAGGGAAGGAAAGATAAGCAGATCTGGAAAGAAAGGTCATGGATACAGAGAAAAAKAAAATAGCTTGTGAGTAGAGAAAGATAAAACATATTGAGCTTTACAGATAGGTAGAAATTATATTTCAGAAAAGTAGACAAGTCCAGTTGGAAAATAGTGTGTTTAGTATTAAAAGTCCAAGCTGCTAATAAGTAAGTGGTGCGGTCTAGCCAAGGCAACACTGCCCACATGTCTGTGTATAGGTTCAAAAGGCAGCCAGGACAGAACGGAGTTAAGGCCAGACTGAGAAGAAATCTAACACATTAAGGCATGTGGGCAATTAGGTGATGGTGAACTAAGGCATAACACCATGAAAAGATTGCTTTAAGAACATCACTTGACAGTGAATATTCTCAACATCTATTAAGACTTCCTCACTTCTTCATTACCTCTTTGTTTTTTATTTAAATAATGTGCCATTGCATCAAACTTAAAGATAGATGGAAAGAAAACACTTATCCCAAAACCACTTCCAAAGCTGTAATTCCCTAGTTTTGCTAGCTATCTATACATTGACTTTACTTACCTTCTATTTCTTCTTTCCACTTTCCTCCCTCCTTCCCTCCCTTCCTCCTTTCTACTCTTCCTTCCTCCCTGGACACAAGAAGTCACTAATTCAAACAGAATTCTCCTTTATGGTCTCAAGAATCTACAGTTAACCAAAGATCCCCTATCAGAGGCCCTTGTTACCCAGAGTAGAATAGTGCAATCCTATGCGACAGCCATTGAGGCAGTCTTTCTGTCATCACACAGCACACTAAACCTCATGGTACATATTCTCCAATACTTTCCTCCTGTGTTTCCTTCTTTATGCAGGCTCTACTCTCTGCCCGGCATGCCTATATAACCTTCTCAGTCTGGGAAGTCCATAACTTTCTTTCAAGATCCAGCTTAGCTGTTCTCCCCTCCATACTCTCAGGGGTCTTGACCAATACCTGTATTTTAGTAGGTATTCGTTACTGTGATTGTTGCAGGGCTCTCTTCCCCTTTATATACTAGAAGATAGAGGCCATGTTCTACTTGTCTTTATATCCAGCATTCAAAAGAAATTAATGCATACTGACTGAATTAAAGAAACTGTCTTAGGTCAAAGCAGAAAATGTTGTTTACCTGGGAGATGTTCTTATCCAATACCCTACCCATCCTCTTCATTTCATACTTTTCTGGTCATGTAATTTTCTCTCACTCCTCTCTGCTCTGTTTTGTCTACCTCAAATTCCTTCTGACTGCTTCTCTGCCTAGGAAACTTCTATTTATTATTTAACTTTTGGCTCACTGCTATCTCGTTAGTAAAGCTGGCTTTGACTTCTCTTTTCTTGTCTCCAAAGTACACTCCATCATCACACTCATCACTCTGGGAGCACCTCCATTACCAAGCATGAATCTTACACAATTACTTCCTATTATGCCTATTTCTATGGCAAAGCTGAGGCAACCTTTAGTTTACTGCTTTTCTAGAGCCAGAGTTTTAGGTTTTGTGAACTATCTAGGCTCCAAACAACTACACAACTTTACTCTTATAGTGCAAAACCAACTACAGCAAATAAATGGCTGTGTTCTAGTGAAAGTTAATATTACAAAAACAGGTAACAGGCATCATTTGGCCATTCTAGAAACTTAATCAATGTTCATCAAATTAAAATCAATCTGGCAATGTTAGAAACCCAAATGCAATCCCTGCCCTCAAATGATTCCCTTATCCCATTCCAAATTTGTCAATGGTGGCAGCCTTGAAGACTACTTCAYAGACAAATCCACAATAGGAACTCAATAACCAGTCATAGAAACAATCCAAATGGGATGGAAATGGGGCTTTGGGGCTTGTCTTTTTGCCAAATTCCCACCCTTCCTAACCTCACCTTAAAGGGAAATTAAATCTTAACTAAATGTTCTTGTCACTAATACTGACCTCCCACAAACAGACAACCTTTACTTCTAAGAGGAACAACTACTCCAAGACTCCATACTGTGCCTCCAACTTGTACTTCRCCTTCATCTCAACTTCATCTCAGCTTCTGATATTATGTGCTTAAAAACAACATTATCTCAAAGCAGCAGGCAAATAGAAATAAACTTCCACTCTAAAGTGGGCCATGGGTTTCAACCTAAGCAGGGAAAACATCCTGGTGTTCCACAGTATTGTTCCAAGCAGTTCTGAGCACTAACCTAGATCCTTTTATATAAATAACATAATAACCAGGAAAATGAATAAGGAAAAAAATAAGATGAAAAAAGAGAAGCTTATTAAGTTGCAAACCTCTTGAGGCAGGAATCATGTCTTAATCACCTTTGCCCAAACAAAATACCTGGCATATATTAAGAAATTTTGGGTAATGAATGAATTTATGAACCTAAGCACCTAGATAATTTAGTTGCCAAAACACACACTTTCTCTAAATTATCTCAAAACTATGCTTTAAAATTAGCTCAATCCTTAGGGAAGTTTGAAAAMCTTCCAGGTGTAAGTGGGGGAATAATCCATGCCCTCCTTTCTCAGACAGACTCACCATCTTGAGTGTTCGGACTCAGGATTTGTGTTCTGAGTTCCTCCAGGCTAATTCCCAGACACTTGCAGATCTCTTCCGGGCTGTAGGGTTCAGAATGAAGGGCATCCTCTGTGACCAACAGCATTTCTTCCAAACTAATCCCTAGTTCTGTCTGCACCTCTTCCAGTCGCAGGACTTTGTCCCATTGCAAGCTTTTGTACTTAGCCAGGAGCTGCAAGTTCAAACGAAGACATCAGTCAATATTCATTTCAGGATTGATATATACAATTCTAATTAGTTAGAATCAACTTTCAGCTGTTTAGGGTTTTGTTGTTGTTGTTTGTTTTCTACTCAACCTATTGAAATTTCCCACCATTGCTTGGAAGTGCATACTGAGATCGGATGTTTGCAATTAAACATAACTATATGATACTCACAGGCTAGTTAGATACCTGTAATAAAACATATATATATACACATACATATGCACATGTGTACACACGCAAACTAATCCCCCACTGATTTTTTTTCTTAGTCTATCACCACTTTTCCCCAGGGCTATTTATTTGAATAATTTCATTATTTTATCCCTATTCAATTCATCTCTATTACATCTCTCTATATAAAGTCTAGAGAAAACTGATCAACTCTCGTGTGACCTGAGTCCTGAGATGAACACTGTATGCCTGATTTCATTAGAGCACTTCCTGTTTACTACATGCCTCTATGAAAATGCCTAATGAGTTTAAGTGTCTGGGCGTTTAGAGTCAAGTCCCAGATTTTAAATGAAAACCTCATTGGTGACCTTATGAAAAATCCTTTCATTAGGTCGCTGGTAATAGTGGAGCTGTATGTTTCTCCACCCTCAAGAAAAAAGAGCCTGGCTTTCAGTTGTGTCCTGAGGCAGACCCACAAACTGATGGAGAGGGTAGAATACAAACCAAGTCTTTCTAACCAGATCCACTTATGGGAATACCAGTCCAAAATATATTATTTCTCTCATTTTCCCCAAACCACTGACATTCCTTCAGAGCAGGTGGCAATCAAAAACAATGAAGATTTCTCTCCCTAAACAAATCATTGCCTGGGTGTGAGGACAGCAGGTGCAGAAAAGAAGCAAGCAAGAGAAGGGGAAATTAGTCTTCAAGGAAATGTGCATCTGATTTGCTCTTCTATTTTGTTAATGATTTGATTTTCTTTCTTTTAGAGAGGAAGCAGGATTTACCAAAAGACTATTGTAGTTTGGTTAGGGCCACTCATTTCTAAAGAATGTTAATAACAGAAGTTCTTATATTTATTAATCATCTTTTTTAAAACCCTGGCTCATACATTTGAAAAGAGTTAATGATTTTAAGGCAGAACTGGGAAAAGAGACAATAGAACTGTTTTTTTATTCAATTATTTCACAGAACATGGTGCCACTTTTAAAGCAAAGACATAAGCTAAGACCTTTCTTCTGCCCTTATTTGCTTAGCACATTTAATTAGTGTTTATTGGCAGTGATGGGTTAATAGCTCTACCAAATGACCACTCATTCATTCATTGAACTCATTCATTCATGTTCTATATGCCAATGTATTCCAAAAATATTTTGAAAAAACTTATAAAGTCAAACAAAATACAAAATAAATATACATTTATTTTATGTGGAAAAAGCAGAAGTCAAAGATCTCATACAATAATGTTTTCTGTGAAATGTATCCAGAATCCAACCAAGATAAGCAATGAAGCTAACAAATATAGTTTGTTTCAAATGTGTTTTTTGCTTCTTAAAATCTTCAACAAACTTAGAAGATAGGTATTATTACACTGAGAGATGAAAGTAATTTGTCCAAAGTCACCTAACTAGTACAGTTAGAAATTGAACTCAAGACCTATAGCTCTTTCTTGTTTCCCCCAGGTGACATTCTTAATGAGGTACAGATGATATCTATGTTGTGTTACTCCCTATTAGTTCAAATCACTGCCTACGTCTTAGAAAGGCGTTTCTAAGTATAAACTAAGGTTTTTGCTAGAACTGAACATTCCAATTATTTAAAAAACACTTTGATAAATGGATTTCTTTGAAAATAAAGAAAAAGGAAAAACATCAGAGAATATCTCCTTATAATAAAAGAGGGCACTTTTTTTAAAAGAGAGAGAGAGAGAATTTTTTGTTTTAATATTTATTTTTAGTTTTCAGCGAACACAACATCTTTGTTTGTATGTGGTGCTGAGGATCAAACCCAGCGCCGCACGCGTGCCAGGCAAGCACGCTACCATTTGAGCCACATCCCCAGTCCCGAAAAGAGGGCACTTTCTAAGAACTTTTCAGTCACAAGTTCCCATCCAAATTCTCACTTAACTAGTCACATTAGCCCATACATTTGATTAAGAAAAAAAAAAAAAAAAACTGGGAGTGATGTACAGGAAGAAAGCCTGTGAGGGATGCCTGAAGCCCCCACGATTCTTTTCACACAAGTCCCCATCCAAATTCTCACTTAACTAGTCACATTAGCCCATACATTTGATTAAGAAAAAAAAAAAAAAAAACTGGGCCAGTGATGTACAGGAAGAAAGCCTGTGAGGGATGCCTGAAGCCCACGATTCAGTTTTCACAGGACCCCCCTATATCCTTTTCCCTAAAGACAAGAGAACTAACATGAAGAAGTTCACATTCACTCCAGCAATATCTCAGTTTTCTGTTAGCCCAATTGTCCACTTGGCCCTCAGCTGAAGAGTCTACACAGCCAACTTGGTGTGTATTTCAATTAAGGATGAAATATACCACATGTCCTCAACAACAGCTGCACAGCCCATCATCTGTCGAATTGCACTACACTGGAAGAGTAAAATAGGAAAGCCGCTTAAGCCTGTTGAAATTTGGCTCAGGAAGCAGAGAGATGACTTGCAGATGAGGGAAGTGGGTGGGTAAGATTGCTGTTGCTCAAAGACAGAATTTCATGAGGGAATTCATCACTTATGGTCCTGCTGACTGGCCTACTTCACATTTGTGGGGCAGGGCTACAGGTCATTTCGTCACAAGTTCCTCACTCAGTAGCAGGGTGGGGAAATAAGAAAAAGCAGTTCTTTGTCAACATTCACCATCTTCTTTTTTCCACAGCAAACCCATTAGGTGTTCACATCAGATACTACTTCTGGGAGGTTCCTAGCTCTGTCCCATGATCCATGGACATGAAAACAAGCAACACGTGATTTGTTGGGTCAAGGAAAGAAGCACTGATATACAGTGATAGGATAATGTCTAAGGCAGCTTTGTCTCAGAAGCAGGCCCTCAGACAAGAATGGGGGGCAAGAAGTTGTGGGGAAGGTGATCCTAAAGAGCACTAATAGAGAAGTGGAAAGTGAGACAGGAAAAGGAGTCAAACAYGAAGAGCACTGATATTGACAGATGAGAGTAAGTCTGTGGGGCCCTCTGAGAACTGCATGTATAAACCTCAGCTATAACTTACACAAAGGGGAAGAGAACTGGAATATTTACCACTAACTCCTACTTATAACTGGTTAAAGAGGCTCTCAAGGGAATGAGATTCCAAGTTATCTCAGATTCAAAGTAAAGTACTAAATACTCTCCTACAACCAGAAAATGTTCTCAGTCCAAAAAACGGCCCCATTAAGCAGAGTTCAAAGATATCGACCCTATCAGAATCTACGTCTATTCAACTATCTCATTGTATTAACCTGTCAAAGGAAAAAGTACCAAGTTTTCTCCTCACCAGGTCAGCAAAAAGAAAAGCTACCTTTAAAAACAGCAATTCGTTCAACAAGCTACGTTCCATACAACATAAATGCTTATGATAAAAATTTTAAATAATACCTAAAAGTTCAAAGTACAAAAAGAAAAATAAAATCATTCATAATCACCCCCAATGAATTAACCATCAACTGGGTTTTTTTGTTTGTTTGTTTTTTCTTTTTTTGGTGCCAGGGATTGAACCCATAGGTGCTTAACCACTAAGCCACACCTCCAGCCTTTTTAAAGTTCTATTTTTTTTTAAATTTTAATATTTATTTTTTAGTTATCGGTGGACACAACATCTTTGTTGGTATGTGGTGCTGAAAATCGAAGCCGGGCCACACGCATGCCAGGCGAGCGCGCTACCGCTTGAGCCACATCCCCAGCCCCTTAAAGTTCTATTTTGAGACAGGATCTCAATAAGTTACTTAGTGCCTTGATAAATTGCTGAGGCTGGCTTTGAACTCGAAATTCTCCTGAATCAGCCTCCCAAGCTGCTGGATTACAGGCATGCTCCAAAGCACCCAGCTTAACTGCCATTTTGATAACCATCCTATCTTACTTTTCTTTCTGCATGCCTACACATATAGTCTGACATAAATGGAATCATACATAGCTGCTTTTATTGGGGATACTCTAAAAAAATCTTTCCCCTCAACCTTCTTCCAACTACACAGAGCCCTTCTCCAGTATTCCACACCACATAGTGACCTGTGTTCATGTACCATCCATAACTACCATGAACACATTCACCACATTGACCTTCCCAATTCTTAGTCATCCCCATTGTCATGTTTTCCATGTTAGTTTGCAGCCCACAGAATAATTCTAGTTGTGCCAATGGTCCTACTACAATCCTCTCCACACCCTCCCTCAACACAAGTTCTCTTCTCTAAGGCAAACTTGAGCMTCGTGTTCAGGATCCCATTTATGCTTAATTCCTAAGGGAAACAATGGAAAGAACAGAGGCTAAGACAGACTTGGACTCCTCCATTCACTTCAAAGATATCACCACACTACTTGGCCTGAAATTCCAAGTATGTAAAATGAGGCATTCACAAGCAATTGTGAAGATTAAATAGTAATTAAAACAAAGTAACACCTTCCCTGGTCTAGAAGAGGCACTCTGGGAGGATCAAATTTTCTTTCCTCTGTACATTCTTCTGACTTTTAGCCAATTCTCTCCCATTTGACTCCTTCTTCTATGCCTTCAAACATATGTGAATGTTTACTACTTTAAAATTCCTGGGCTGGAGATGTGGCTCAGCGGTGGCGCGCTCGCCTGGCATGCGTGCGGCCCGGGTTCGATCCTCAGCACCACATACCAACAAAGATGTTGTGTCCGCCGAGAACTAAAAAATAAAAATTAAAAATTCTCTCTCTTTCTCTCTCTCTCTCCTCTCTCACTCTCTCTTTAAAAAAAAAAATTATAAAATTCCTTATTCTTTATCTTTCCATTGCTTTCCAACAACTATAACAGTGGCCATCCTCACCAC